TTTTCCGTCTTCCGAGCTGGCCGGCAGCGAGCGCTGGGGAGGCCGGTGCCGCCGGGCCGGGCCGGGGTGCTGAGCGCCTGATCCCCTCCGGCGGCCTTGTCGCTGCGGAGGGTAGCTGCCGAAGCGCTGTCGTATGCCGACACGGCAAGCGTAACGAGTTCAGGTTCCACTTGCGACAGCTTCGTCTTGGTGCTGAAGGCGGAAGATGCGGTGTATTCGCTTCGTTACCGAACAGTGTCTTGCCTGTGGCAGTTCTGTCCTGTCGTTAGGACAGAAGTTAAACTGCAGTTGATTGCTGAGTTTTTCCGGTTGGAGAATTTGCACAGCCCTTTTCAAACAGAAACCTGAGGGGAGTAAAAAGATGTTGATGCTGAATTTTAACCAGGAGCTGTTCTGGGAACAAATGGACTGCGTATCCCCGTGAACAGTAACAGTATAGCGAAGCTGCAGCGGGAGGAGAGGGATGGCTGCAACCGTGGTTCGGTTTCACAGGTAGCATGCCGTCTTGTGCTTCGTACCCAACGCATCTGGCCATCTTGCTAAGAAGCCAGTGGCAGTACGGAGGGCTGGTGGCCTCATCTTGACAAATTCTGACCTTTTTGGCAGATCGGATTCCTAGATCAATAGTCTAATGATTAAAGGTGACTCTTCTGTTTGCCAATAGAGTAAGGGTGGTAACCAGATTTATCGTTATACAAGTGGATTTCAGTTGAGCTGTCCAAGCTGAAAGAAATGCTGATTTTCTCCCCCCCCCCCCCCCCCCCCCCCACTTTCGAGAAAAGGCTGAATGCAAAGGAAAGAATCTCAGCAATGCTGAATGAATCCTGTGGGGATGTTACTTCTCTTACCTGCCTATGCTTTGCTTAGTCTTACTGGGGACATTTGGAAAAGTTTTAATTTTTCCTTTAATTTATCTCCCCCCCCCCCCCCCAAGCTCAGACTTCTGGTACAAGAGCAGAAGGATGATCTGTGTAACTCCTTGCATGTGAAGAAATCTTTCTCCACAGAGTAGGAGCTGGCTTGATTGTGGTGCTATGGTTAATTTAAAAACAATGATGTGGAGCCAGAATTAAAGCTGACTCTGAAGCCAGCTGTTCAAGAACAGTTGGGGGCTTGGTACTTGGCACTGTCATGTGTTCTATCTTCTAGGGTTTAGCTGCTTGCCTCCCAGTGTTAGTCTTGCCAAAGGCTCAGTCCGGCTTTTAGTGATGTGTTCATCAGCAGTCTGTGTCCTGGCCTAGCAAGTGATATCAGAGTGCTGATCCTGCTGTTCTCCAGCACTTCAGCCCTGTTCTTCTCTCACTAATACACAGTCAGTTGTGTTGTCTGCATAAGCCATTTCATGCAACTAAGCCTCTATGTATGAAAAACCAAACTGGTTTCAATGACTTCAGGTAGAGGAGTTGAGACTTAAAGCCTATGATCTGCTTTTTCAATGTAGGCTTTGTTTCTGTTCTAATTGGGTAAACATATTCCAGGGTGTAGCTGAGTTCATAACTCTGCTCATCGCTGTTTAGCTCATACCTCTGTCATTGTTGACAAGAGGATGCCAGATGCTATTATGCTTTGTAAGCAGATAGAGGAAATATTGCCCTCTCTTAGATGCATGTACAGCCCCTAGCACAGGGAAATCACAGTGCTTTACTGTGTCACTACTCCAGTGTGTGGCATTGCGTTGTTTTTCTATGTAAGTACCTCATCTTTCAGTGTAGTAGAGTGCCAGCTCTCATCTCGTTACAAGTTACTGTAAACAGGGGGAGAGAGGATCAGGATTAAGTGCTGTGAAATCTGTGTGTACTTCCAATTCAAATTTTAAAATCTGTTATGCCCGGGGAGGTGCAACTCTGAATTTTGCCTGCTATCAGTGTTTCCTGGAAACTTCTAATCTGACCTTGGATGGTGGCTTTGCATATCCCACCCAGTGCTGATGGCTCCAGTTCATGACACTCATACTTCTTCTAGGAGTTGTTTGTAAGAGGAGGTTAACTATTACTGGATGGGCAGGGGGAGGTGTGATTATATAGGATAAAATTAGGAAGTCAGCAGGAGCCAGAGGAAAATGTACTAGTTCAGCTGATTAGTTGTGCTAAAGTTTAAGAGGATTTATAGGCAGCTCACTCTTCTTGTATTTTGATAAGTCAAGGGCTATGCTGTGGTTATAAAACCTAAATATGGATTAAAAATTTCCTGTGATGGAAATAGCAACATGCATGTGGAGCACTAGCTATTTAAATGCATTAGTTTAATACTGTAGGAAAATGGGCCAATTGGAAAGTACAGCTAATTGTAAAGAGGCCGCTTCTTGTGTGAGCTGGGATCTAGAGGCAGCCTCCATGAGTACGGGAGTTTAGAGTAAATTATGGACATACCTGCATTTAGTACTGGTAAGATGTTGGGGGCAAGTGTGTTTAGTGCATGGAGGACTTCTTGCTCATCCCCAACATGAGACGGCCCATGTCTTTGTGGGTTTTACACAGCTATTTGACAGCATGTGCATAAATCCTTTGTTGCAACTTTGCAGCTGAGTGGTGTCAGCCAAGAGTGAAGTAATTGAGAATGAAGCTGGGACAGAGTTGCAAGGTGTTGCTGAACCTGTTATTTGGAAGACGAAGCGCCCTAATGCAAGCTCACGCTCGGGTGTGTCCTTTGGTTGATGTAACACCAGTCGTCTGTTGCCTCATTGAGGTGACTCGGTGACACCAATGGGTCCTTCTAAAAAGAGGTACAGAAATCCTCAGAAGAGCTTTAGTTGAAAGGGAACAGTCACACCCAGAAACATCCCAGGGAAAGAAATGAAAATGATAGTCTGTGTTGGCTGACAAATATTTCTTCCCACACCCAGAGAGGCCTTAGAATATCTGAGGTGCTTCAAATGCTGAGCTGAGGCACTAAATGTATCTTAGAAATGCAGTGTGGAGTTCAAGCAACAGTTGCAAATCTTAGCAAAGCTTGGCCACAGGATTTTATGGTATCTTGTACTGCTAGTTTCTGATGCTTGTTTTGAATCAGATGCACTAGGAATTTCAGCTTTAAAGGATTTCCTCTGAAACTTTTCTCGAATGGTCTCCTTTTTGTTGTTGTTTCAATCCTAAATGGTTTAAAGCTACAGATGTACAAAGGAAGCTGTATGTCACCCCTCATTAACTTCTAGTTAAAACTTTTTAAAAAAATATATTATTTATATTTTGTCCAACGTGTGCTTCTGAGTTTCCTTTCCTTCAAGAAACTAAAAGATAGTTTATTTGAAGGGGCTGCATATATGGATTATCAGCCTTGTTAGCTGTGCCCTAGATAATATTGCCTGTATGTGGAAAACATTCTCGCACTGTTCTAAGCAAGTATATACTTCCTGCAGTAGAAATGCTCTTTTCTGGGGTTAGTATTGGGATGGGTGTGGGTAAGTGTTTCTGAAAGTAGTTCCATGAACTCAAGGTAGTAGTCGAAAATTAATTCCTGTTTTTAGGAAGCAATGCTGCTCAGATTTTGTTTCTTAATAAAGAGGAACTTGTAATTAACTGTAGTATGGTGTACGTTTATTTTAGTCCATATGTTCTTAGAAAGGATACCATTTGAGAATCTATTCAAATTATGTGGTTTTATCCTAATCCCTTACTCTCCTCTCATGTCTCCTGACAACTTTTATAAGTACTGTCACTTTCCTTTCTCCTTCTAGTGCATGACAGTTCACACTTAGGGGAGAAACTAACTGCTTACATACAAATAGCAAACAAATGAGAAATAAAAATATTTTTTTTTTGTCTGGAAGTCAGTTGTTCATCAGGTGTGACCAGTCAACCCGTTCCATAGAAGTGGTATTTCTGGGATACATTTTCTTAAGTGTTCCGTTGAATGCTTTGAACTTGTTCATCACGTTCACTCCAGTTGGGCAATATGATGGCAGTCTTCAGATATGAGGTTCCTATGATTTTTTTTTTTTTTTTAAATCAACAGCTGAGTAGAGAAGAGAGACACTGGTGGATGAAAAGGGTGTAATGTAAATGCTGCCCCTGCTAGATGCTGCAGAGCCTATGTTATTGGAGGCGGATATAAATGCCACAGGAAAAACTTTAATGAGAGTTCATATGTTATTTGTGACTATCCTTAAGGTACTAGTTCATGGGGAAACTGAACTTTGCTAGCTTTCCAGGTTACTGAACTTAACTCTGACTTTCAGAAAATCTTTTTATTACATAATACTCTTGATTTGTGTGGATTAAGAAAAGCAGTGAATTTCCATAAGCTGTTTTTAAAGAAATATTGTTGAAAGATTTTTTTTAAATGCTGATCTTTGTGTTTTTTTGTTTGTCTGTTTTTTCCTCTGATTTAGAAAACTTTATGTGATGTCATTCTTATGGTTCAAGAAAGAAAGATCCCAGCTCACCGTGTTGTGCTTGCTTCAGCCAGTCATTTTTTTAACTTGATGTTTACTAGTAAGTCTTTTCAAAATTGATTGATTGTAAGCTTTCGTGATGATATCCTGTTAAACTTGTGGCTGACAAGCTGTTTACTTTATGAAAGTGATTAATTTCAGGGATAAGTGAAGATTTCCTCATTTTGTGTCCTTCTTCCATTCATCTTTGTTCACCCTTCCCCTCAGTTTCCCTTTAACTCTCTTTTGATCAAGTCAAGGGTTACTTCATATGTAAGCTCTCTTATTAATTGGAGCCCAAACACTGTATTAGAGTTGGTCTCCCTCCCTTAACCTGAAAATTGGGAGGTTTTACTCCCATGACAGAATTTGTCTGCCTCATTGCTTCCCACCGTTAGGCACTTCCACATATAAAACGGGCTTTCAGAAGTGTAAATATTCTTGCGTTTATGCTATCTTTACAAATTCAGTTATGTAGTATCTGTCTTACTTTTGTATGCCTTACCCATGAATTGTAAAATGTGCTAATGCGCTATAAAACATGCATTAAAGTCGAGTAGAAGTAAAACAACCGTGCCTTCCAATGGTCAGCTTGTAACCGTCTGTGGGCAAACTTAGAGTGCTGTGTCTGGATGTGGGAAGCTTGGAGCTGTCTCTATTGTTATCAGCTTGAATGTGAAAATAGCTTTTGACAGTGCAGCATGTGCTTCCTGTTTTTGGTAATGCTAACTTGGCAGTCTGCACTCCAATCAACAGCATCTATGACCTTGTCTATTTAATACAGTTTATCATAATTTACATAATACAAGCGTGTGCACACACCAGTTATCTTGTTTGTCCCACTGCCTCCTTTCCTGACTTGCATTAATAATCCTGGGAAAACAGCATTCAACTGTGTGCAGTTTTTAGCAGGTTCCAACCTTGTATAATCACTTTATTTTCTACCGTTTGCAAAACATACAATAACTAGAGTGGCTTATTGATGTAGTTTGTCTTTTAATCTATTTACAGCAAATATGCTTGAATCAAAGTCCTTTGAAGTGGAGCTAAAAGATGCAGAACCCGACATTATTGAACAGCTCGTGGAGTTTGCTTATACTGCAAGGTAGTTTTGTTATTTAAAGCTGACACTTTTTTTAGGAAGCCTGCCAATTGTAAAATGATAAAATAGTAAAATAATGCTTCTATGATTCATCAGTTTTGTTACCATTACAATTCTTTACTGTTTAAAGCCTGATGCGACTAGACCTTCTATCCTTCTTCCCTTTTCCTTTTTATTTAATCAGTAGGAAGCCCTACAGAGTAAAGAGAGTGGTAGTTGTCTCCAAAAAGCAATTCAAAGCACTTCAAGCTTTTGACTTCAGTGTTGGAATCAAATGGTATTTCCCATTGTTCTGAAATTCAGGCCCTTATTGATATCAGCAGGGTTTCTCTTTATGGCCATGGTAGCTACCGCACAGAACCATTTCCAGGAGTTACACCTTCATCTCAGGACAGGCAGCATGGATTACTGCTCTGTGAACAGCATTTCCTTCCTATCTCAGGTTGTCAATGTGTTTGGGTTTTGTTTTTTGGTTTTTTTGTTTGTTTTTTTTTTTTTTTAACAGAGCTTGTGCAGATGACTAGGATTGTAAACAGTACTTCTTAATCAGCTCTTATGACCAATGGATGGCAGGCCTTTCATCTTTGTACTAATGGGATTAACTCTCCTTAGGAAGGCTTTCTCCTGTCTTTGAGAGGAATCTTGTTCTATGCTCCATCAGTGGTAAGAGATAGCCAGTGTCAGCACCCCGGCCATATGGTTGCCTCCCCGGGTGCGCAAGCCCTTGTCTGTGGGCTGTGTACCTTCTCTTGAAGCACTGCCAAACTGGTTGTTCTGCTTGTGCGCCCTGGGCAAATCAGCCAGAGCAGTCTTGACAATGAGTTTAGAGAGAATTTGCTGATGCCTGTTTAGGAGTAGGAGACTCAGAAAAAAGGTTCTGTTCATTTTCTGTTTTGTGAAAGCGGCTAATCACACAGGTCAAAGTACGGTACTGCAGAGGGCCTGTGTTAAAGGCTTATTCTTCAGAATCCAGGACTGTTTACTCTTTGCCCTTGCTCAGTAAAGTCGAGCAAATGACACCCATTTGGAAAGATGATGAAGGGAGGTTGCGTCTTCAGACTGTGTGAAAGATTCTTGGGCAAATAGCAGGGAAATAATTTTGCCATTTATGTGAATTGGTGTAAGTTGCTTTTTTTTTTTTTTTTACTACAACAAAGTAGGTAATTTTAGTGATGCTAATTCTACACCTTCTGTTTTGCAGAATCTCAGTTAACAGCAATAATGTCCAGTCTTTACTAGATGCAGCAAACCAATATCAGATTGAACCTGTGAAAAAAATGTGTGTGGACTTTTTAAAAGAACAAGTTGATGCTTCCAATTGTCTTGGTAAGAGAAATGCAGACTTAAATTTACTGTTTATTTTTTAACTTTGCTGTTCCTGAAAAATAGGTAGTATTGCCTAAAAGACAGTAATATTTGGCTAAATCCAGGCACATAAAAATAATTTTGCTCTGAATCTGAACTATTGTCCCTTGCTGTAGATAAAAAAATCTGGCAGTTGTCTTTGCCAGTATCAGGGTCCAGTGACTGTGCTAGGTCTCATCCCAGCTTGGCAGCACCTTGGAGCTTCTTGTCTGTTAGAGAACCTCAGCTGTTCAGTAAGGTGGAGCTTTCAGTTGTTATTACTGTACTTGGAGACAGAATTTGACAGAGTTGTAATTTCTACAAAACTAGCATATCTTCTAAAAGTACGAACAGGATAAGTTTAGGTTACTTTTGTTTGCGGTTGCTCTTCATTTTGAAGAATCCATGAATGTCATCTGGGCAGTTTTGATATTTAATACGTTCTGTAGCCCTAATGTGAACTCGGTGTTACAGAAAAGGTAGACAACAAGTAGAACTAAATGCTTTTAAATGCTTAAGATTTGGTGCACTTCTATTTAGTTAGAGATTAAAGATAAACTTGTTTATAGGGTTTCTTATTGACGTTTGTCATGTAATTCTCCTAGTAACATCTCAATCATGTTATAGGTGTTTATAATATCAATAGAAATGTTTTGTGGAGTATCTGAATTAAATGATTCAATTGACACTTCGGTGCAGTACAGCTGTTGCTCTGAAACAACTGCTGGAAGAAAGACGTTACCTTCTAAGAAAAATGTCACTTACGCTTACTTTAAGGCATATTCGCTCGTCTGTTTTTTGTTAACTAGAAAATCAATTATGGTCTCTAACACTTGCATTCTTTGTTGCTAATTTATAGCAAACAGGGAGATAAAGATTAAATAAATTTTTCCTCAAGGCATTGTTTACAAGTTGAAATGTCTTCTGTGCAGACTCTTAGGCAAGTCCATAGTTCATTTAAAAAAAAAGTGTATTTGAAAGAAACCATGGCTTATTTTGAATCTCTTGAAATTTTGTCACGAGGTGATACGCTTGGATTTTATCTTTCTAGTTTGCATTTTACTACTTCAAGCAGCTCAGGCTAGTTGCAGCCTGTAGGTTGGTGGGTTGCTTCTGCCCCACTTGCCATCTCCTCCATAGAAGGAGGAGGAAGACTGTAGCATGATGAGCAAAAGCTGCTGCTGAAAAGCTCTGTGCTTACCTGGTTTCTAATGGGAAGGTTGGATATGATGCTTCTCAGTAGCAGTTGCTATTTATACCTTTATGCCAACCTGCTGCCCTTGCAGCAGCATCAGCTTGACTTTTTTGTGTTAGTCTGCAGCTGACTGTGCTACCTGTATAGAAAAGTCCCAGTTCACTGTGACTCTTGAAGGAAATTGGGCTTGGTTGGTGACTGCTGCTGCATGAGCAGGTCAGGGAGGTCATAAAACCTGGATCCAGTTTCTCAAGCTGTTCTGGTTAGACTTTGTTATTGTGATATGGCTCACACCTGGTTTAGGTACTGTTACCTCCTTTGTAATGGGGAAAGAAACAGTGAGGAAATAGTGCTGGAGAGCTAGTTAATACAGCAAGTGGTGCAGGTCTGGCTCTCCAATTAGTTTGGTAGGGATAGGGATCAGAAGCTTGTGCTTGTCTTAGTCTGTCTTCAGTTGCAGATGAGTTATGACAGCATGTGTTTTAAAGGGGGGGGCACGGGGGAAGCATGGTAATAAATACTAAACTGGGGTTGCAAGTATCACTGGAATTATGGTAATTTTATTCTATTTTAATATATTAAAGTTAATTGCCATTCAAGTTTGGAAAGGTTTTTTTCTTAATTTTTCCTTCATAGGTATAAGTGTGTTAGCAGAATGCCTAGACTGTCCAGAACTGAAAGCCACTGCAGATGACTTTATCCATCAGCACTTCACTGAAGTTTACAAGACAGATGAGTTTCTTCAGCTTGATGTTAAGCGTGTGACACATCTCTTGAACCAAGATACATTGACCGTGAGGGCAGAAGACCAGGTGAGATACCTGTTTCGTACCAGCTAAAAGCATTGAACTTCACTATCTTTTTTTTTTTAATCAAGAACTGATTTAAAGTATCTCACTTCTGATGTTCCCACAGTATATGATGCACATAGTGCTTGCTAAATCGTAGAATAAAAGGTGCATCCTAGCTTGGTCAAAACCAAATATTAATGAATATCCACGCTTCAAGTGTGGTTATTATGTGTCGTTTCAGCAAACTAAGAAGTAGTCATAAAGGGAGTAAGCAAAGCAGTTTCCTCTATCGAGATAGCTATAGGGCTTCTGATTCCATAGTATGTGAGCTGAATTAAGTTTGATGTATTACAGCAGTTGCTCGTAGATTGGGGTTCACGTGCTGTCGGTGAAAGTGAGCTACTTCAAAGTGGCAAGCGAACTGCACCTTAATGGCTGCATGTCTCTACCCGAGTATGGTCTCAGCCCATTTCAGAGAGGAGTTGCTTCTGATGGAAACATATGCATACACAAGTTAAGCTTGGGGAACTGGGGGACTTGGAAGCAAGATGAACAAAACACTGAAAGCTAGATGCATTGACAGTGATGGATTGATGGAAGGCCCTTATTTAGGGAGTGGACACAAAAGTTTAGGTGGCTGAAAGGAGCCTTGGAGTTTCACTCAACTAAAAGTTGTAACCTGTGGTAGAAATTGCATTCACAGCTCTCCCATTTGGAAAGCTTGATTCAGTTTATAGCACAGCCCTGAATGCTTGTTCGCCAGCTGGTTATTCCTACTGCAGGAAAATAGGAAGAGTATAGGTGTGTCTGCACTGCAGCACAAAGGGGTGATTGCAGTATGGTTGTAGCTGCTGGGTACTTCTTGTAGCCTCTCAGTCAAATCCATTGAAACCATACTGAAATCTTGCCTTTCTAGCTGTGCTGTTCTGGTGCTTGAACTAGGTAATTTAAGTTTGTTTGGGTATGTCATCATGAGTCAACTCACACCTTTGAAGTGCAACAGAAGGATCTCATAGTCAAGATGATATGCATATTCACTTAGATAGAAATGAATGTTTTCCTGACTCTGAAGTTTAGCTTTCGTAGAATTAATGAATTTTCTTCAATGTGTCTCTTGCAGTAAAAAGCTTCAATGAAAATAAGAATTACCAAGAGTGGAGGATAATATCAGGTGACTAGAATATGACAGTTGGCTAGTTATAAGTATAAATATGAGTTATGTCACGGTTTAACATTCTTACCATGTGCTGGGGAAAGTTCAGGTCACAGGGTAACATTCTCAAAGCTGGAAGTGTTGTTTAGCTTGCAGCGAAAATGACTCTTTAGAATTTGTTCTTGAAGTTCTGTTGGTAAGGTAGGATGGCATGCTTTAACTTGGCAGCAGTGGTAGAAATCTTGTGTAGGCAGTATGACATCATTAAAATTCCTTTAGGAAAGTGGCAGTGTGCAGTATGCCAGTGACACTAGAGGAGTCTTATTTCTCAGGAGTACTGCTAGAAAGCTGACACTATACTCTAACTTTTCTATTGGTGTAAAGCATAAATACATTTAGTAAAAAAGGAAGGTAGCTTTAATTACTAGCTGTCCTATTTTTCCTGTATGCAAGTAATGTTTCTGTTGACGAAAGGATACAATATTCCTGTCCCAGTCATTCTGTTGCATTTTCTTAGGTGATTGAATTGAGCCTTAGATTTCTTCTTTATTTCTTTACTCTCCCTTGCTCCTTGGTCATTTTGCAGGATTATTGCTGAGGTGGTTGAGCAGTCCTTCTGAATAACTCAAATTCTGCCATTAAATGTCTTTCCGCATTATATCTCGGTCACTCTCCACTGATCACTGTGATCAGTTTCAGCTACAGGAGTAGGTATTGACTGTGCTATCACTTGTAACGAAGTTAGTGCTGACTCTGAAGTGGCAGCATAGTAGATAAACTTGCTATGTCCAAGAGCACCATTGAAGTATCTTACTATATAGGTAATATTGGATTTTCATTTCATTCCTTCCTGGCCCAGAGGACAATCATAAATAGAGCAGATTTCTTGGTTAACTTCCCTGTTCTGTCTCACTGCCCCCTAAGAAAGCCCATTATCTTTTCCTGTAAAGAGGAGATAGAGAGCAGGCTCTCTGGTAAATTTATGGCAGCCTGCAGCTAAAAAATTAAAATGGTCCCCTAAGACACAACAATAGCAATATATTTGGACCCCCAACACTATGATTTAGTAACAGAAGCAGTTTGTCAGCTCAGGAGACTATTATCAAGTAGAAACTATTTCAGCATTTCTGGTGAAGTATTATCTGTGTTTGTGACATGGAACTCGAAGCATGTTAGTCTTAGCCTGGTACAGGGGTTAACCCATTAAAGCGAATTGCAGATTCATGCTTCCCATTTGGAAGAAAAGGAGAAGAAGAAAAAAAAAAGGCTAAATAGTAGAAGTAGTGTTTTGGGTTTTTTTTTTAAGTCTGTAGATGGGTTTTATTCTGTGGTTGTGCATTTGTTTTACTTCATGTTTGAGCATTGTCTTTTTTGGTGTTTTGTTGGTTGTTTTGTTGTGGGGTTGGGGTTTTTTTGGAAGATGGTGATGGATCCCCACATACTAAACTGTTAGTGTAAGTTAAACCGCTAGTGTAAGTTAACCTCCAATAGGCAGAAGAATCAATTTGGAGCATTAAGTTTTTGTTATTTGTCTTACTGTGTCGTGATGTACCTTTATCCTTTTCTTTCCTTCTCTCTTGTTTAAGGTTTATGATGCAGCAGTCAGATGGCTGAAGTATGATGAGCCAAATCGCCAGCCGTACATGGTTGATATTCTTGCTAAAGTCCGATTTCCTCTTATATCAAAGAACTTCTTAAGTAAAACAGTTCAGGCTGAACCACTTATTCAGGATAACCCAGAATGCCTTAAAATGGTGATCAGTAAGTTGACTTCTAGCTGAAATCTTTAATGTTCTGTATAATTAAAAAAATGCTGTGAAATTTTTGAAAACTGTTTGCTTTAAAATGCTCTGACAACATTTTCACATTGAATTCATCTGACTCTGTTCCCTCTAGGATGCTGCATTTAGTTGAAGTTGGATTAGCAGATGATCATGTAAATAAAACCCAGTTCATGTAACAGAGTGTGACTTTCATTTATTTTCTGCTAGCAAATTACATGGGCTCCGTGATGAGTAATGGAATGGAGATTTTGTCAATGAGTCATTAGGGTAATTGGAAGTGTTAGTGTGCCTTTGGGACAGGCTAGTAACTTCAATATTGTTCATGTTTATATGTGCATTAATAAAAAAGATTTATGTAAAAATTTTGAATATTACAAAGCTTTCCTAAGCAAATTAGAACGTTAAACAGATGTTGCACTATTGACCGTTGCGTTCTCAAGGTGCAGATGGGATGGGGAACAAGCTTCACTTTTGGTTTTAGACACCATTTGTGAAATTTTATCGTGTAAGAAAGAAAAGCCTAGATGTTGATAAATATTCTGGAAGGAAATTTTCTAATCTTGGTAGAGGTTAACTAGTTGGCTTCATTTTAGTGTAGAGCTAAAAACCGGTATGCAACTGTTTTCCCTCAGTCAATGAGCAAGGTTCAAATTAATCTATATGTTGGTAAGTATTTGCTGACCATCGACATCTCAGTCATACTTCTTGTGTGACATGAAGTTGGGTGCATTGTTTAAGAAATAAGGATTTTTTTTTTGCCTGGTTTTAGTGGCTTGTAGCGTCACTAATATTTTTGTGTTCTTTGGAATGTTTTTTAGGAGGATGCTTATTTTCTTATACCAATTGTAACTAATGTTTTGCATTGTCAAGCTAAGAATGAAAGTGAGGGGTTTTCATGAGGTACAATATGCTAGAGATGCCTGCTTTATTAATCAGAAATTGGAGGGTGAGGAGGCAGGCACAGTTGGTTTCTGGTTGTATTCAAGTCCCTTCTTTTAGTATTGTCCTCTTTAGGCTCCCAGGTCTGCCATTCCTTTTCTTTGGGTTTGCTTCCTTTTGCCTGTTTCAATGCAACAAATGTAGTTGCTTGTTAATATTGGCTAAATGAGCTGGTCGATAAATTGGTATATAACGTGAGTCCATGTCCTATTTTCACATGGAGCAGGCAATTTGAAATAGGATGTAAATCTGGATGTATGCTCCCATCCTCCTGTGCTGCTGTGCATTCTTCCCTTTTAAATCAAAGCTGTATAGGTGTAATGTAGAAACTTGGTTTCCCCTTTTCCCTCCCTTCCCTCTCGCCCCCATCCCTGCCTCTGAAACATCCCTTTCCAGGTAGGAGCTACACTGGATCTGCAACAGTTGTTGTCTTCCTTCCAGGTGGGATGCGATACCATCTACTTTCCCCAGAAGACAGAGAAGAGTTAGTGGAAGGTACGCGACCAAGAAGAAAAAAGCATGATTATCGCATTGCTTTGTTTGGAGGCTCACAGCCCCAGTCCTGCAGATATTTTAATCCAAAGGTAATCGTTACCTCAGAATGCATTAAGATTCACTGTTTGTAATCTTAGGTATTTTATTTGCTGATGATATTAACTAAGACATAATGATCTACAAAATGGTATTAGGAAGGATGTATTCCGTGCCTCTTGGGTATACAGTTGGAAGAGTATGGTTAATTAGGAATTTTCAAATCTGTGTACCTAGATGTAATACTTCATTTTGAATAGAATGATTATGTGTTTGTTTATTGGCAATATTAGATATGGAGTTCTGATTAATCCATCAGAGTTGAGAATTGATCGATATGTGCATCCCACAGCTGGAAATAAATAAAAGGTCACCGAAACATCAAGCAGTCGGTTAGGAGTATATGAAAGTCTGTATGCATGTGCATGCACGTATGTGTTCAGAGAATAACTAAAAGCAATTTCTTTTTAGCGCAAGTTAAATTATTGGCCCATATGTTAGTGTAGAACCCAGTTTTAGATTGCAAGGTGTTTTTTCAGTGCATTTATTATAAATACGCAACCACTTCTAAATCCCAATGGTTCACAACTTTGTTTGTTCTTAAGAGTATATAAGGAGAAGAATTGGGAGCCAAGTATTACGTAAGTGGAAAAGAGTAAAAAAAACATAGAGATGGCCAATTTAGAGCAAGCAAGCAAGCTTTGCCTGAATCTTGTTTCCATGTTTCCTGAATAAAATCAAGCCACAGGAATGGTGTCTATTTCAGCTATGCAGACTAGATGGTCTAGAAACATCAGCTGCATGCAGAAGGATTATCCATACTCTGTTTTACCAGACAAGCACATGCAGTAATGCAGAAGAAAGTTGCTATGTGAACATCAGGGCTCTCTAAGTTATGAGATCACATACATGTAATATTTTGTTGCAGAAATTCTGGTTGTTCTAACTCAGCATATTAAATGCTTGTTATAATTTCAAACAGCTTTGTGTCTTATCTGTGTGAACTTTATAGTCAATGTGAGCCCTGTCAAATGTAATTCAGAATGAATGAGCCCTCGGGATGTGTTTTGAACTCATCATTCACATTCCCTTATGTAAGATAAAATTGAAGCCACCTTCTTTGAACGCCACTCAAGTCTGGGGAAAAAAAGCCTGCCAGCTTTGCTGACCTTGTTTGAGACACATTTAATATGTATTTTTATTGGGAATTCCAAATTCCTAAATAATGACCACCTTTTTTCTTCATACACATACTCAAGTAAGATAAGCAGTACTCCAGCTGGGGGTGAGGAGGTGAGGGGAACAGAGCAGATAATTCTTTCCTTTCCAAGGTCTGAGTTGGGGAAGCCTTTGATCAGGGCATTCATCCTTTTCAAACAGTTACTTGGTTTTGGCATTTTAACAAGTTGTAATTCACCCAGGATGCTCTGACCTTTCTTTTATTAGAAGAAAATCGGATCAAAGTTTCTTTCTCTTAATCTCCAGTTATTTATGTTGGAATAAAGCTAATTTTAGGCAGGATGGCAACTAGCTTTGAGACTTACTGTCCCAGTCATTAATTGGCAATGGTATTATCAGCGTAGCGTGCATGTGGTCTCTTTACCAACCTGACTGATAGGTTAAATTCCATAAGTGCCCAATGTCAATGGTGGTCAGAACTCAAAAGATAGGGGTTGTTGCTTCATCACTCTTTATAAACTAATATACCCCCCCCCAAGTTGTCACCACGTATTTTCTGAAAACTTAATCTTGTTTGAAAAATAATAATCTCAGTGCATGCTGAGTGGGAGTGACAGGCAAAGACTTAAAACTAAAAGGAAAGTTATGTATGCAGTTAGGTGATCTTCAGTCAGACCTAAACTATAATATTACAAAGAAATCTCGTTTGTGGACAAAAAGTCATATCTATCTAACTCTACATAAAGCATAGGATAAAATGGCTTATTTTTTTCATAGGCTATTTGTCCAGGCATAACACCAAAAAAACCTGAGTTTGGAAGAAATTTTGCAGAGCTGCCTCTTGATCAAGCTTTATGGCCTTGCATGTGGATTAATCAGGGCGGCAGGGGGAGGGGGGTGGGCAGGCAGAGAAGGAAAAGTAAAAAAAAGTGGGTAGTTGGAGATCTTGATTCTAACAAGCATGTCTTCCTTGAATGTTTTTCTAGTGCTTATATGCTTTCTTGGGTATTCTTAGCTAGCCTGTCATGTCTTGTTGAATAGCTTTTACTTACTTCATGTCCAACTCTAAGCTATTTAAAGATCCTTTTCTGGATGTTTTGCTTGAGTATCCGAGTTTGATCTTTAATTAACTGCGACAGTAGCTTCTTACATGCAACAAACCAAGGATCCAGAACCCCTGTTGAATTATCATCGTGTGCATGCAAAATAAGTGGGGGATGTAAGGCTCCAATGCTGCAAAGACTATCTCACGTTTAACTCACTCTAATTAGTCTCATCAAAAGATGATGGGAGCGTCACAGAGCAGAGAATTAAAGTTGTTTATGTACTTTTGCAAGGTTAGGACCTTGGTAAAGAATTGAAATTTTGTTTGTTGTCTGTTGAACTGATTGAATAGTGACCTAGTCCTTCACTTTTGATTTTAATTAAATTCAATAATTTAATTCTTTATGTCAGCTAAAGACACAGTTCAAAACAAAGGTTATGTTTTTCCTGAAAATATTTTCTCAGTTGTGATATAAATTTCAACAATTCTAACACTATAAAACTAGTGCAAAAATTTTTAATTTTCACTCATTGCTTTGCATGCAAAATTAGTCTCTAAAGTTGATATTCATTGCCTTGTTGTTAAAAAGGGTTCTTTAAATAAGAATGGATTGGATACTCTGTGTTATTTGTTGAGACTGTTAGCAGTATTACTTTAAGTCTGTATTTGTTGTCTTTGTTGCACTGTAACTGATACTTCTATTGATGCATGTACTTCATCAAGAGAGTAAAATGATGCAACAGGACAGATGCAGACGAGCATAAAACTTGTGGAGTGATCTGGCACTATTTTGAGTAGATATGTTTGTTTTCAGAATACTACTAGAAATCCTAGATGTCCTATTAACAGTGGTGGGAAGCATTTTCTTGTTGAATTTTCCACAGGATATTTTTTAAAAGCTGCTTTTTTTTTTTTCCCCAAGTTGGGAATAAAATAGTTTTTGTTTTATGAATTCTTGATAAAAATTTATACATGACTTTATGGGATTTTGACCAGCAATATGCTTGTTCTTTTGAAATTGCTGTCTCTAGTGACCAGAAATGGCTGGAAGTTTTAACTTTTTAGCAGTGCAAAATCCAGCAATGGCAAGTAAAAAGAAGCAGATGCCTGACAATGCTATTTCTTGATGATTAAGGGAACCAGTATACCTTTTATGAGGAGACAGAGCTGTAGTCAATAAGCTATTAGTGAGGAGGTTCATATTAGGCATGTCTGTTGTTTTCCCTGACAAACTTGGAAGAGGAGATATCAACTGAAAAAAAGGGAAAAGTCTTAAACCAAAGGAGGTACTTTTTCACATGGCCCGTAATTACATGTGCCATTCTTGTCACAGGGTCTTGTGGCTGCTAGGAGTTCAGGTAGTTTTAATAAGTGATTAAATAAATTCATGAAAGAGAAGAAAGTCTTTCAAAAACTATTAAATACAAAGGTACAGCTTCTGCCTCTGGTGTCCTGCATCACAATTTGTTGAAAACAAAAAACAGCAGGGAAGGTGTCACCATATACCTATCTTGGTCTTTCTTTC